ACTACGGCCCTTCCGTGACATTGCCCATGGCTCTCGAGGGCATGTGAGTGCGTCTGCACCTTGTTTCACGTACGTGGGGCCTGGGGGGCGCCTGAGCTGCTGCTGATGGGAGGTGGAAGGCCTCTGTCCTGAAGGGAGGCTGCGGCTGGCCTCCGCATGGGCAGGCTCACAGCCACAGCCCTCCAGGCCCGCAGTGGGGTGCTGAGCACAGAGGACGCTCCCCCTTTCTCTGGACGTTCTGGACGTCTGGTGCTGTGATGTGTGAATGTGAATCACTTCCTGACCTGGAGGTCACTGAGGGCAGGAAGCCAACGACGTCGGCTGTGGAGGCCAGCACGGGAAACACTGGGAAACCCTGTGCTGGGCTGGAGGACAGGGGCTTCTGTCGAGGAGAGGCAGGGCTGAGTCCGAGGGACACGCAGGAGCCAGCAGGTGAAGTCAGGCAGGGCGGAGAAGCTCGGACAAAGCAGCAAGGAATCGGGACAGGGACACAGGGACTGCCAGGGATGATGCCCTCGTCCAGGTGACAGGTGACGGGGCGGTGGGGGTGCAGGAGGCAAAGGACTGAGTCTAGGACATGCAGGGACAGGGAGAGGGCCGGGCGGGCAGACCCCGAATCGTCCAGCTGGGGACGAGTTCACAGCCCTCGTCCCGGGAGGACGTTGTTTGGGGTGTTGAGCCTCACGCAGACCGCCACCCCTGCCACCTTCTCAGCCACTGCACCCCGACCCTGGACCTCCCCCTCCTGAGTCCACAACCACTCTTGTCCCTAAGGCTCCTCCAGGCTCACCTGCTCCGTGACCACTGTCACTGAGCCCGGGAGCAAGACAAGGTGTAGCCGAGCCCTTTACCCACAGGGAGTGTAGCGCAGACCAAGGCACTCACTTTCACGGCCGCCTTGAGTGTGGGACGGGGAGCTGGACGAGGAGGACGTGGCCCTGACACAAAGCGGCAGGACCCCGGGGCCATTTCCATTTCTGAAGCACACCTGCCTGGAGGAGGCGCAGCCGCCCAGAGCAGCGGCGGCCCCGTCCCGGCCTCCCCAGAGAGCACAGACAAGCTAGAGCACATCTGCTCGAGGCCCATGGAGAGGAGGGCCGGCGAGGCTGGGCGGGAAACACCACGTCCCTCCACTGGCAGGGCCCAGCTGGCGGGCTCGGTTCTCCTGGCGCCTCCCTCACCTTCCCCACCTGATGGATGCCTCACTCATCCCGCGGGTTTTAGGACACGGGGATGAAACCTGGGCTCACCAAGGAGACGAGGTGCTGGGCCGAAGCCTGGCCCTGGGCAGAACGCATGCAGGGACGTCAGCGTTCGGACGCTCGGGACCGGGGCCACCAGGAAGAGGCCCGGGGGCCCAGCAATCACCTAGGACACTAGCCCAGCACTCCTCAGGTGTCAGAGCGCCTGCTAGTTAGCGAGCTAGCGGGCTAGTCACCGCTCACCGAAACGCTGATCCCTGGGCCCCACCTGCGCCTGGAATTTCCGGAGGAAACTGCAGTTCCCTTGGGGGACCGTGAGGCCAGGGCCACCCTGAGAGTGCTCCACACTCTGTGCCTGGTCATCGCTGTCGGGGCGCTGCCCTGACACACAGCAAGCTGCCCACTCAGGACACCGCCCTCTGCCCTCAGAAGCCGCCTCCTCCTGGAAGCCCACCTTTCTGCTCGCACGTTTACTGGCCACCTGCTCTCTGCCAGACCCCACGTACCCCTGATGGATCAGACCCAGAGGACGCTGAGCTCAGATCCTGGAGGGGAGATGCCACGAGACAGCGTGACAAGGGCTAGAACACAGACCCGGGGGCCTGGGGACACAGGGCTTCATGCGTGCGGAAAACGGAGTGGTGGGTGGCCTGCTGGTGCCTGAGGCTTTGCATCGCCAACTCTTGACTGAGTGTCATGTTCTCACAGAAACGGCAAAACCGGCCGAACACTCCCAGTAAGCCCCCATCACCGGACACACCCTGTAACCAGCACCCAGGTTAAGGAAGGGGCCCTCGCCCACCCATGAGCCCTCCAAAGGGGCCAGCCATCCACCTTCCAACAGCTCAGAGCAGTTTCCACGCTCGGACTTCCTGTAAAGGGCCATCCCGCCCCCACGTGCCCCCACGCTGGCCTGAGCCTCGAGCGTGTGTGCGGCTGGATCAGATTGTTCCTGCAGGCCTCCAGTGAGGACCAGCTGCTTCATCCACAGAACATCCTGCAGTGCACCCCGGGTGAAGTAGGGCTGTGTTCTGTGGGCTGCAGACTTGCCAGGCCTTGGGGCTTGGCTCCGTTAGCTTCGGGGACCCCAGATGACAGCCTTCCAGGGCCGCCCTGCCAGGCTATCCCCAACCCTGCCGCAGTGTCTGGGGCACAGGCTGAACCGCCACACCTGGTGCCTGTTGTACCCACAGCAGCTCCACCGAGTGTGAGACAGGTCGCCTGGGGCTGTAACTGCAGCCCCCCTTCTCTTGTGAAGCAGAGTTCCCTTCCTCAGACACCCCCGAACACCAAGAGGGGCCGTTCAGTGCCAGCACTGAGAAGGCTGCAGGCTTGGTGGGATCAAGGGACGGCTGCCCCTAAAGGTCTGAGCAGGAGCAGAGGGAAAACCAGGGGCAGCACTGCCGCTCACACCCCAGTGCTGGACAGTCAGGAGGGCCCTCCCCTCTCAGTCCGTGAAGCCAGGCCCCCAGATGCCCTCGCCCCTCAGCTCTGAGGCCATTTCCATAGAGCTGGGGGTTCTCTGGTCACAGGAAGTGGGTCTCAGGAGTCCTCCCCTCTGGGCCCTGATCCTCAACGTCCCCTCCCCTTCCAAACTGGACTGTGGACTTTGGGAGGTAGGAACCACAACTGTCCCAGCTGTCCCTGCGCTGGCAGTGGGCAGGATTACGTTAACGTGGGATTAGCGAGCGGGTCTGTCCACCACTCTGTGGCTGCTCTGCACGAGTGACCACTCACCCCCAGGCAAATGGCAGGTCCGTCTTAAAATTCCTGCTTCAAAGATAAGGAAACTGAGGCAGTGGAATTTAAACAACCTGCTCAAGTCACACAGGCTGTTTCATTCCTGCAGCAGAGCCAGGGTTGAGCCCTGCTGGGCCCCGAAGCCTGCTCGCCGCCCCTCCAGGAACCCAGGCCGAGGCAGAAGGCAGGCGGGCGCAGGGCCACCAGCACCGCAGGTCTCCGTGGGAGGGTGGTGCACAGGGTCGCCCTTGCCCAGGACAGCTGACTTCTGGCAAGGCGAGCGAGGGACCCACTCCGGGACACTTCCTGCGGGAGATGGCCCAGTGCACCGAGCCTCGGCCCTGAGCCAGGCGAGATGGCGAGAGATTCGGGGCCGTGGCTCTTCTGGTCAAAGAGGTACCACAGCTTCTCCCACCACACGCCCAGCATGGGCGGAGAGACCCCCTGCTCTCTGCCTTCTGCTTCCCGCGGGTGCTGGACATCACTCCCGGCTTGTTCCTGGGGGTCCAAGACCATCACGGGGCCCTGGTGAGCCCAGCATCTTGCCTCCCTCCGCAGTGAAATGGAGAAACCTACTCACTCAGGTCTGGTGGTCTGCGCGCGAGGAACAGCGGCTCAGAAAGACCGGGAAGCCTGGGCGCCCGACGAAACGTGATTCCCGCACCATGATTCCCAGGAACCGTCTGGGTGCAGGAGGGTCAGGATATCCCTGCCCTCAGAGCTGGCTGGACCCTGCAGGCTCTCCTGCACCTGCCTGTCGAGGCCAGGCCTGCAGCCGGGCTGCCCCCGCCGCACCCCCACCCCAGCTGCTGGGGTCGAGGACGATCGGGTAGCTGATCCCAGTCGCCCACAAACAGTTTTTCACCATCAATTTCTAAGCTTAAAAGGAAATAAACAGGAGCTGGATGGCCAGAGGGCCAGGGGCCGTGCGCGCAGAAGGCAGTGTCTGGGTCTGAGCAATTCAACAGACGAAGCAGAACTTTCATGAAAACAGAAAAGCAATAGCTACTGCAGGAGGCTGTCAGACGCTGTGCCCCAGGAGGCAGAAGTTCCCTGAGAAGACCCCTGGGCCCTGTGCGCCCCAGCCCCACCTCCTGCCAGGGCACGCCTCTGCGCAAAGTGCTGGAGTCTGGGGGTCGGTGGCTCCACGCATCCCCGGGGCGCACTCACAGCCCCAGTCACAGGAGGGCGGCGCCTGCATGTGGAGTGAGGACTGACCTGGGACAGAGGGGAAGGGCGACGAAGGGGGCCCAGCCAGGGACGCTCCTTCCCCCACTGGCTTAGGGAGGAGGAAACGCCCCGAGGCCATGTCCCTCTCACCGCCCCACCCCAGACACTTCCAGGAGCCAGACCCAGAGAGGACGGGCCCACAGGACCACTGCTGTCAGGGCTGCCCCCGCCGCGGGCTCAGGTCACGGTCATTGTCACAGCTGCAGGTAGCCAGGGCCACAGGGGCCTCCCTCCGCATGGCACACCTCACAGGTCTGGCACTGCCTGAACGTGGCAGGGGCACACGGGGGTGGTGACTGGGAGCAGGAGCAGCCCGTCCCGCCCCTGCTGCCTGGCTCCAGGGTGACCAGCCCCAGAAGAGCCTGCGGGAGCCAAGCCCTCGAGCAGGCCCTCAACTTCAAAGCTCCACACCGTGGCTCCCGGGCCTGCTAGCGACAGCCGGCAGCTGGGGTCCTGCGGCCACCACCTCGGCAGAGGGAGAACCATGTGTTTTAACCTGCCAACCATCCCCATCCATGTTTTAAGCCGTTTCTTTGAAAACTGCCACGATCAACAGACTAAATCACCCCCAAAAGTAAGCAAGTCCCCCAGTGAGTTTTCACAAGTCGCTCAGGCAAGGGCAGGCCATCTGTGTCTGAGTCTCACCCACTTTGAAGGCTCAACCTCAGGAAAACAGAGATGGTGCCTCCGACCTCCCAACGCCCAGGAGCATGTCAGCGACACGAGGTTACACGTGTTCACAGTGGAGGTCACGCCGTTGTCGCTCCTTCCCAAACAGCAGCAGGGCTGGCGACGGAGGTGTGGGCTCCACCTGCGGGACCAGCTCACCTGCTTCTCCAGGCGCCCCAGCTGCTCCTTGTAGAAGGCATCGCGGCGTCTCAGCTCTGCCTCCCGGCTCTCCAGCTCCTTGGCCTGGGAAGAGAACAGAGCCCATGTCAGCTGTCAGCCGGGCAGCAGGGGGCTGGACTGGGGCTGCAACGATGCAGACTTACGAAGGGAAACCTGCGCTGTGTGGGGTCACCCCCCACTGCGGTGCCACCACGCACCGTCAAGGGAGGACACCGCAGAACCACCACCCTGCTGAGGGCCACATGCTGCCCACCATCCCTGGGAGGCGGGCAGGGTCACTGTGACCCCATCACAGACGACGGGACAGAGGGGCTTAAGTGACCAGCCCAGAGCTCAGAGCTACGAGGGGGGAGCAGGGCCTGGTCACCACGCGGTCTGGAAGTGCCTAGCTGTCCTCTGGGACCACATCCTGCCCGTCTCAGGCTCTGAGCTCCAGCAGCAGGGGTGCCCCAAAATCCTTAACTAAACAATTAGCAAACCAAGTCCATCGATACGTGAAAAAGATGACACCACATGATCAGCAGGGATTTCTACCAGGAGTCCAAGGTAGCTTTAATGTACAAAAATCACCCACATGCCACATTAACAAACAAAAGGAGGAAAAGTCACACGCCAACCTCAAACAGATGCAGGAACAGCATTTGACAAAATACAACACCCATTTATCCAAAAAAAACCTCCGGCAAACCAGTAGCAGAAGGAGACTTCCTTAACGTGCTGAAGAGCGCTGTACAGAAGACCTGCGCGTTACCACACTTATCGGTGGCATGTCTAATGCTCCTCTCCTAGGACTGCAGAGAAAATGTTGGTAAGGACTTAGAAGATTTGGATACTAAAATTAGCAAGAGTGAACCAGTAAACGTCTTTCGAGAATCTCTATTCCCACGTGGAATAAATGCTTGCATTCTCTTCAGAGCTGACCGGGACACTTGCAAAGTCAACCCCTCTTCCTGGGCCCGCCCACGAGGATAAACGAGCAAACTTCAGTGTGGCAGTGTCACGCGGACCACTCCTCGGATGACAATGTAATTAAATTACAAGTCAATGATGAGAAAGTTAAAAATGGGTTTCATGACATGCCTTCCTACGTGACACACAGGCTAAGAGAAAATAATTAGAGAAATTTCAAAATTCTAAGAACACAAGATCTACAGTCAAAAACAGTGTGATGTAGCAAATGCCGTGACCGAGAGTAACTTAACGGTCCTAAGTGCAGTGTTTTCAAAAAAGACTCAGGCAAAGGGACTTGCTCCTGGCCACACAGGCGTGGGGCTAGGGGTACAGCTCACCAGCCTCACGGCGCTCGGACCCACATCACCCTACCCTGGACCGCGTGTCTGGGTAACGTAAAATCACTGGCTAATCACTAAACTGGGTGCCACTGAGACATCGTACAACAGCTCCTCAGACGTTTTAAAGCGCATTCAGTTGGGATTCTGATGAAGTACAGATTCTAAATTATCACTTTGGGATGGGCCGCAGTTAACACACTCCAACAAGCTCCAGGTGGCGTTTCTTGGAGTCACAAGGCAGCAGTCACACCCGCAGAAAGAGACCTGAGGGATATGACCACCCCTGCCGTGAAGGGTCCAAATGCGCCCCCTACCCCTTCCTTCAGCTAGGCGATGTGCTCTACTTTAAAAGACGGTATAGAGTCGGGGTCAGGTGAGCAGGCTTTGGAGGCAGAAAAAACTAGATCTGAGTGTTAAATCTGCCGCTTCCCACCAGCGACCCCGGTCTAGACTTGCTCCCCGCCCAGACTGTAAGCTCCTGGAGGTCAGGAAGGTTCTGTGTTTACGGCTCTGTCCCCAGGGCCACGTGGTAAACATCTGCTGAAACAATAAAGAATGGCGCTCCTACAAGAAGGTTGAGGGAGGGGAGGGTGCTAGTCTTTAGGAAGAGAGACGCTCAAACTCTGGCTCCAACAACGCTTAAGACTCAGGATGGGGTGTGTGATGTCTCTGAGCTGTGGTCCCTGGGAGGGTGGCCGAGAGCTTGCGGCCACGTCCCCTTAACGTGGGGGCCCTGGGATGCACCACGTGTCTGCTCTGGGTCCGGAGGAAAAAGTGTCCCTGGAGAAGGCAGCTCCCCTCCCCTCCTAAGTCAGCTCAGACAGGTGCGCGCGGCCCGGAAGGAGGGCTGCAGCAGGTCCCCCACGACCACCAGACAGGTCCTTCCAGGCCAGAGCCCAGAAGAGTGGGGACTTGAGCCGGGCAGCATGCTGACCCCAGGACCAAGTCCAGCTGCTCAGAGTCCATGAGCAATCAGGCCAGGCCACTGGTCTAGCATCCCTGACAAAGCCACCCCGGGGCCAGGAAGAGAGGCAGCTCGGACCCCGCTCTGCCCCTCATCACCCGGCGCATGTTTTCTAAGAGCCACTGATGCCTCAGAAAATTCTGACAAACGTTCTGTCACAAGACCATCTTCTGAGACACGCAGGCCTCTCTGCGGCCCCCACGGCCTTCCACCAGGCAAGCTGCAGGCGCGGACTCACACAGGCTGCGGCACTGAGACCCACCTGTGTGCCCACGCCCGGGGGACAGGAGAGCCGGCCCCGGGGCAGACGGCTGCCGAGACAATGGGAGAGGGAAGAGAACAAGCCGTGGGCAACTGGAGCCCAGGCACCTGCAGCCTCACTCCCTCTTAATGCCACCTACACGTCACACTGGTTGTAACAAAAGCAGAGACCACAGAAGTCTCCTGAAATGAGGAGGAATGGCAGGGCCCAGCCAACAAAAGCAGCAGTGACATGGATTAATGGGCCATACTGGACGCCTGCCTGGGAAAGCCAGGGTTCCTGGCTCCTCCGGGGCAGCCAGCCAGGAGGGGCTGCTTGGTCCCGGTCCTGATCTCTGCACCTGGCACTGCAGACAGGGACCCACACCTCTGGGTCTGAAGCTCTGAGCTCAGGGAGGTCGCGGAGCATTTGCTGGACGGGTAAACACTGGGTCGGGACAGAAGGAAAGTCCTGTTTGTGGTCTGTGAACCGTGGTCCTGCTCTGGTCTGTGAGGTGGCGTGGGCTTGAGACAGGCTGGGACCTGCCGTGCTCGCGTGTGGACAACTGTCTCCTCCAGCAACAGGATACAAAGAAACCATAAGGGACTAAGCGTAAACCAAGACACAGAAAGGCCAAAACACAGCGGCCACTTCTGAGGTGCCGGGAGCAGAAGCAGGTGCTGTGACCCCTGCACACAGACCACCACGGGGGCGCAGGCCACCCGAGCCCGCCCCCACCGCACCGCGGGAGGGCGCAGGGCACGCGCTCCCCGTCTGGCTCCCGCTGCCGCAGCACGAGCCGCGGCGGAGCCTGGCGTGGACTTCCCATCTGGCCGCTTGTCAGCTTCCACCGATTAAGGAACCCAAGAACCGGGGGCAGGAGCAGCTCGGCTCAGGTTACCCGCCCCAGTCACCAGCATCCACAAAACCAGAACATCTGCACAAAAACGCTTCGGCTTCCCTACGAGAAACTGGAAGTGGGGCGTCAGCGCCTCGTGGACAGCCCTCTGCCTGGGGCCGGGACCTCAGGCTCCAGCCCCACCGCCCTCCGTCCCCCGAGCAGAGTGCCCGGCCTGGTGGGGCCACCCCAACCCCCGCGCAGGTGCCCGGCCCCTCCCTCTCTGCACGACCCCTGCTCTGGCCTGGCTTCCCCACACCAATGTCTCCACTGATGTCCACTCTTCAGCTGCTCAGCCCAGCAGCCCGCAGACCAGCCTCGTGGCTTGGGTGCCCAGACCCTCCCAGAGCGAGGGGCACATGAGGGGGCCGGAGGGCTGAGCACAGCTGGTGAGTGACGAGGATGCCAGCCGTGGTGAAGGGCTGTCAGGACAGACGGCAGCCCGGGGGGGAGGGTGGTGACCATGGGGGGCCCCCAAGGAGGTGACACAAGCGTGAGGGCCGCCCTGGGAAGCAGCTGACCCGCTTGGGCACAGAGGAAGCAGTACCGACAGCTTGGCCCCGGACGGCGCGGGAGGCGGGAGGGAGGCCCCGGCTGTGCCGAGGAGCGCAGCCTCTTCCACCAGCGGGGAAGCCACTGGAGAGCTTTAAGCAGGAGAGTGATGCGATCTGACTTATTTATTTTTTAACTCCAGTTCATAAACGCCGAACTGGAAGGCTGCGGCCCAGAAGGATGGCCTGATTACCGCTCCGCGCAACAAGACCGGCGGCCTGGGCGCACCGAGCATCAGCGCAGTCGTGACAGCCGCATGAAGGCAGCAAGGAGAGGTTTGCAGAGGAAATAACACGCAGCCTCCCAGCCCAGCACCTGCAGAAAGCAGCGACAGAGAAAGGAACCTGGCCCGAGAGCAGGGAACCAGGCGCCACTGGACGTAAGCAGAGCTGGGCAGTGTGCTCCCCGAGCTCAGATCTGCAGGATGGAAAGACGGAGCTGGGGAGGGAGGCGCACCGTTCGACTTGCTGTCGGCTGCTTTTCACACGGCTGCAAGTACCAGAGTTCAGAGCCACGGCTCCAACACCACGTGAGGGGACAGCCCAGCTCCGGGTCAGAGGGCAGCGCTGGTGGGACGGGGGCTCCTGGTGCCGAGGATTCCAGAGCCGCCCTCCCCGTCCACTCAGACGTTCTGCAGCACACCCTGCGGTGAAGCAGTCGGAGAAGCAGGCGGCTGGGCCCAGGTCACGCCCACGACCGTGACCTTCAGCAGGCAGGGGCTGTGTTTGGTGCCTCTCAGAGAGACTGGGCTCTGGGCAGCACTGTCCCCCTCCTCCCCCTCCCCCGAGAGCTCGGAACAGCCTCCGGGGCCGGCCAGGGGCCCTGGCGCCTCCCAGAGACGAGCCATCACGCAGGGGCAATCAGAACGCTGCTCAGACTGCAGGCCCACCCGTAAGCCCTGCCTGGCCCTCGGGGGCCACGGGGATGAGGCCCTGCACCGCCCTTCTAGAACCCGCCTCGGCTCCGCAGACACGGCGCTTCCTTTGGCTCCTACTGTCCTTTGCCAGAAGTGCCTATTCCCACATCCTGCCTGCCAGCCCTGCAGACTCTCCAAGGCCCTGCCCACATGCTCCGTGGGCTTCGACTGTCCTGGCCCCAGTCCAGCCCTCCGGCAGC